GATACATACCTTATTCACAGGCCCAATGCAAATATAACGAGTATTCTCATCTTCATAATGTATGTGCTCAATTGCAGTTTTAAGAGCTTTTTCTCTCAACTTCTTTCCAGGCCAACGCATTAAGATTGGTTCAACAGCCATATGGAGAGAGGACCAAAGTATATCCTGTACAAAGGGGTGTGGGTAGTACAAATCTTCCTGCAAAAATAAAGAAACGAGTTTTCTTATTAGAAAAATCAGGATCAATGTGAAAGTAGAGACAGATACTTGACAGTATACCAATTGACGGAACAGTACAGATATGCAATCTGCCAACTGTAATCCATTAAGGTATCTCAAACACATTCACTGAATTTTGTTCATCAATGTATCTTTCTTTTTCCTTTTTTTATAGGAACCAGATATATATATATATATATATATATATATATATATATAAACATTAGGAAAGGACAGAAAATGATAGACAAAACATTAGTAAATACTCAACACTTCAGTCAAGTTGTTGAAGAAGATTTAATACTCAACACTTTTTTTTTTTAATCACAATCACTTTGACCAACCTTTGCACATTGGTTGCGAGCCACATTCCAATCTATTTCATGATAGGGAGCATTGAAAAGCTCTTTCCTCAAAGACAAGACTGTTGGTGTGATTGGGCCAACAAACCTCTTTCCATATAAGTAAGACATTGGCAAATAAACCATTCGGCAGTGACACCACATCCTTCCTGCAGAGTAAAAAGAAAATCAATTCCTCCACTAGCGGATTTATTGGAAGATCAAAACAATAGTTCATGTATGCCACAAGAAACCTTTATTTGAACTTATAGACAAAATTCACCATTGCACAGCTGAAACTTCACTATAACAAAACTATAAACATACTAGTTGAGAACGATAGTATTCGAAGTCTCACTTGTAGGACAAAGAGCACAATTTTAAGAAGGGAACAAAAAATCCACTAGAATACAGCAATTTTGTTCATGGTTAGCAGAATAGGAATGCCATATCATGTGGAAGATGCTAAAAAAATAATCCAGAGCTTGATCTTTCAGCATTAAATATGATTTAAAAAAAGGTTCAGTGTGAAGCATAAAATGCAGGCTATCGAATTAATATGAACACCCAAACTATGTTGATCACCTTAGCTGATAGTATATTACAAGTTACTATCAGCCACGTCAGACAAAATTACAGAAACACCTGTTCTTTTTTTTCTTTTTCTTTTTTATAAGAAGAAAATCACTTATTCTCCAAAATCACAGCATGCATACAGGAAATACACTCATCCACATAGAATGCATAAATGGCAAGAACCTGGATGGATAGGCAGCATGTACGGAAGAAGCCATATCTCAGGGGGCAGGGGATTATTGCCAGACCATTCAAATGCTCCCAGTACCTATTACAGACCACCAATACCACAACAAATAAACAAATGGACTAGATTGTGGATATATAGAACTCATTCCAACATAAACTAGTAATCAAATGTGAAGGTCAGTTAGACCAACAAGATGAAGGTTAAGTTCTGAACTGATAACCACATTTTCCCCCACGATGTAATTGCAGTAGCACCACCATGGTCCAGAATCCATTTACGCCCACTCTCCATCGCTCCTTGTCCATCTTTAGCTCCTTCACCAAGCAACCTTAAAGTAACATAAGTCAAGACACTACCAAACATAGTACTTGGGCCCTCAATGTGTAAGCCCCACCCACCATCTTTGTTCTGCAATTAAACATCTCTAAATTAACAAATTTTGGTCCCACGTGCAGAAGCTCTACAAAAATATATCCCACAATCTAAATTGATGCGTACCTGATGATTGTAAAGGTATCGACAAATCTCCTTCTTATGCTCATCTGATAAGACTGCATTCAATGCCCCAGTGATAGATAAAGTAATTACCTGATCATTTGATGGGAAGAAGTGTCCAGAATTAAAATGATTATTTCTTTCTGCAATGGATTTATTGTATAAGGTATAAAAAAATGAATGTTTGCAGTGCACTTTTATGTTCTTGAAGGCTGAGACAATTGATTTAAAATACAATCCACCCATTTCGGGAATAGCTGGAATATTTTCCACAACATACAGTTGCTATTGGCGGCAGCATCAGCACTTACCAGGCCAGGCAGTAGAAACATAGGGCCACCATAGTCCCCGGGCCAATGTCCATCATGGGCTTGAAGACTTGAATGGAAATTTATAGCCCTTCTTAATATATTTGTCACTGTCTCCCCGGTCACATCTTCTGTGTCTTTTACTTTGATCTGGGGTAAAACAGCATGACCTGGGTTCTCCTTGGATAACTATTTTTCAGTGAGGAAAGATAAATTGTTATAATAAGTGATAACATTTATATATTATATGAAATTAACTTAATAGAAGACTAATGTTTGAGCATTGACAGGCTCATTCACCATTCCCCAAAAAGCAGAGATAAAAAAAACTATTATATGATCATTCTCCCTTAAAACTATTATATTAAAACCATTAAACATTAGCTAACAATTGATTCACAGTCTGACTGATTGTTCCAGTGACAGGGAAATGTAAAGAAACAAGCAACTTTATCTGAAACGGTAATGATAACATGTAGAACAATCGATATTTTGAATGATCCTCTTTCATCTGCTTTTCCTCAAAACAGATAATATAATCACTGATGGTCTATCCTTTTCCAGTTGAGAGATTTTAGGATGATTTTCACACAAAAAATAAAATAAAAAAATAAATTCAAGGAGCATCTTGATATTCTGGATGACTACAGTAGCAAATCATAAAATCTTCGCCACCATTCCAAATATGGAAGGCATACGAAATTCTAGAATCATTTTTTTGTAAGAAACCTTAAATTCTATTATTAGAAAATTAGAACTATGATTATTCTTCAAATAATATTGGACAATATGTCAAAGGGAAAGCCTTTCAGAGTGCTGTTCAAACTCAACAACTCTCTAGATGGAACCCACAAAAAAGAATTTTTTACAATCATACCAAGAAGTGGAAACCTGGGGAGACAAAACACTAAGATGTTCTTTTTTGGATAAATGCATAGGTGAAGGATTAAGATTGCATATTCGCTAACCTTAGAACCTTAGTCCTTACAATATCACCTCTATCAGTCCATTAAACAGTCAGAATAATCCAAATTTTAGGAGAACTGAAAGGCCTGACGTATTTTCAGGAATACTTCCAATGAGTATTCTTACACACTTTTCCCCTTAACATTTAAAATGAAAAGAAATAAAAGGTCAATCGTTTACAAGATTTATCATTGACTACAAAGTAGATGAATATAACAATATTGTGCAAAGTGTTTACTGCTCCTTTAGCTTAATTTAGTGATACAATTTTATATCTAGTTGCATACTGACTTATACTTGTTCAAGTTGGCAGCTTTGGAATTTTAAAAGCGGAGTACTTTGTTCAATGAAATTTCAAAAGAAATGGCACTAAAATGATGTGGAGTGAAGGGTTGTCCGGGATTACAATGATAATAAAAAAAGTATTTAAAAAAGAGATTGGCAAAGGAATCAGCAGCATCCAACCAACATGACAATTAAGCCGGAAACAGTAGATAGGCGTTTAAAAATCATTCAGAAACCAAAAATCACATGTAAATATTCAACGATAAAAGTAGCAGTATCCTAGTTTTTTATCCTCAGAGGCAGCTATCATTGACTCTTACATTTTGTGACATCTTCTGAAATTGGAACCAACAAGGAGATTGTCAAAAGGTAAATACTAAAGACAAATCCCCATTTGCTTAGAAATCTCATCCAAGGGAGACAAAAGAGAGCATATTTAGGAACTCTTCCAGAAGACTCAAAGTGACGCAAACAAGCTGCTATCAATTAGTTTTCCATCCCCCAATTTCATAAACACTCAAGAACTTCCCTTTCTCCATCATGATTTCACAATTCACACCACCACGCAATTCCGCACTAACCCATTGATGACTTAGTCAAACCAGGTCTTTCTGGGGTCAACTTCAACTCTAAAATATAATATCAAAATATAAAATTCATATTCATATTCAAGTCTTCAAGAAAGCACAAGATCCACAAATGAAAACCATATTACTTAAAGTTCACGTAAGCACTCTCAAAACCAGCAGCAGAGCTTTCATTTTCATCAAATCAATAACGCATTTAAACACACAGAGTAAATAATTACCTGCATGCGCATGAACAGATCGGAGCTGTGTTTCTTAACGAACCGATTGTTGTGAAAGTGCTCGCGAGCTTTCTCGATCTCGAGGAGCTCTTCGGGGGTGCCAAGCTTGGGATCAAACTCCCACACTTGCCTGCCCACATGATTGTTGAGTGTGCGCAGCCACGGGCTCCCTCCCTCCGCAATTTTCAGCTTCCACATTTTCTGGGTTCTTCTGTTTGGTTCCCGAGAAAACCAAAATGCCAGAAAATGAGCGAACTTTAACGAAAAGAAAACAATTACAACCGATACAATAGCAAAAGTAGTTTGCTTTTTTGGGAGTTTAAGATCTGTGAAGCGAAAGCGAAAACGAAAGGTTACAGATTTCGATTATCAGTCAAATATTTGCACTGGTAGAGAGGAGACAGATAGAAAGCCGCTGAAAAATGCAGAGCTCTCTCTCTCCTCTCTGTCTTGCTTACTACGAATGAGTGAGAGAAGTGTAGATGGGACTCTGGATGAGGCAGGTGGCAGTTGAGAAATTTAAACAATTTGGATTCACAGGGGTGATGAGAGAGAATGGTAGACAAACACACCGTGATTGTTTTGGCTGCTTTTGGATTTTTTGTATTTTCCCCATGCCACCGAACAGGCATTATTTTTAGCAATTGTGTGTTTTTAAAATTGAGGTCTTCTAGAAAACAATTTGTGATTGAAATGGTTAGGGGATGACCTCACTAAAGCATTTAAATTTTAAATTAATAATTAATAATTTCAATTACAATAATGTGACCTTCTAGATGCATAAAGTTCCATGTTCTAGAATGTGATGTACATGACCATGAACTCGTGGCTCACCATACTCCTCAGTTTGTTTTGCTACCATTTGCAGAATTGTTTTATTAAATTTTGGGTAAATTACACTAAACTCCCCAAATTATAGGGTTATTTAAGAGTTCATACCCGATTTTGGGAACATCTACGAGTACATGCTCAATGTTACGAAAAACCTAACCCCCTTCGTTAGCGAGATCGTCAGTAAATCCGTTATCTGCCTACGTGGCGAATGTGAGTTCTATTTTTTAATGAGGTGGACTTACAGGTGGACAAATAAATAATAAAAAATTATATATTTTTCAAAATTAATTTTAAATCTTTAAAATTGATTATAATAAAAAATAAAAATAATAAAATACCAACCCAGAAGAACCTACCACTCTCCCCCATCGCAACCTTCCCTCAACACCCACCCATGGCAACCTAACAAAAACAAAAAAATCAATCTTCTCCAATATCCCCCTCCATTCTCAAGCATCATCCTCTCTCTCCTCCTACCACCTTCTCCGACCCAACCCAACCCTCAATATGAATCCTGACTAAATCCCTCAGCCATCACCAACTCCACCCCGAAACCCAACACTTGTGCCCCCATCCTCAGCCGCTATCTTTTTCACCAGAGAGAAGCTTGGAGAAGAACCCAGATGCATCAGCCCCATTCCATCCCCTCCCTTTATATAACATGAGCATCATCTTATGTTATTCCACTTTAAGGGAATCTTTGTTTTCAGACTTCATAAAAGAATGGCACATTTTCTTCTTCTTAAATTTCAACAAGCAAAATGAATGATCCAAATATTACCAAACCTGAGAGACAGAGAATTTTCAAAAAGAACTTGAACTTCACTACAAACCTACGCCAAGCTTTTTTCTGTGGGGAAGATGGTGGATGCGAAGGAGAACGATCAGATCTGTGGGATTTGTGGTTTGGGAAAAATGATCATCGTTTTGGGGTTTATGGTTTTGGGGAAAATGATCAGATCTATGGCATAGGGGAGGTGATGGGTTGGGCTGGAACAAGAGAGATGTTAAGGTTGGGATAGGTGGCCTGAGTAAGATTGGGTGGTGGTTTGGGTGGCTGGGGGCTAGGAGGAGAGGAGATCGGGAGAGAGAGAGAGAGAGAGAGAGAATATGGGCGTATGTTTTTTTTTTTTTTTAATTATAAATTTTTTTAATTTAATATGTTTAATTTATTACAATAATTTAAAACATAAATTTTTTATTATTTGTTGTCCACGTGGAACTCCACGTCAATTAAAAATAGGTCCCACAAATGCCACGTAGGCAGATAAAGGACTTTCTAACGATCTCGCTAACGAATGGGGCAATTTGAAAGTTTTCCGTGACGTTGAGTATGTACTCGTAAATGTCCCAAAAATCAGGTATGAACTCGTAAATGATCCTATAGGTTGGGGGGTTTACTGTAGTTTACCCTAAAATTTTCCTATTTTAAGTGTTTATTGCTCAATTGGTTAAAGATTATTTATACATACATCCGAAGTGGATTCGATTATCTTTTTTCCCAATATCGCTTGTATTAAAATATAAAATAAAAAAAATTTCCCTACTTCTTTTTTGTTATCTATTGGGTATGGAAATCATAGAAGTTTGAATAGATTATTGGTTGTGAAATGAAGTATCGAAAGATAAGGGTGACATTGTTGATTCTCACTGTCACGGGTATTGGAGGAATTGTATCGAGATGTCTTATTTTGGGAGAAATTGGCTTCTTTTCAGGTGGGATTGGCTGCACCTTAGTATTGTTAGACCATCTCCAGTCATGGGCTATAAAAAATTTTGGCCAAATTTAAAGGGCCACATTTGGCCCTTTAGCCCTCCAACCAGACTACTTGTAGCCTAGCTTTAGCCTAGGCTAAATTTTTTTGTGGGCCCAACACATGTGCTTTCCAAGAAGAGAAAGTATTATGCGTGGGCATGAGCACGAAACATCTCGTGCAACTACATATCTAATAACCAATATTAAAGGTGTGCAGACGTCATCGAGCTAGCCGTCAGGTTTTTTTTATAAATATATGTCTAGGATAGGGTTTATTTATAAATTTGTATTTTTTTAATAACCTTTTTAAATGTTTTCAAATTCGTTTTGTTTAAAAAATATATAAAACGTACATGTGTCATATATGGAATATTGTCTCTAAATAGTAGTTTAACTAAATTAAACAATACATAGTTGTGAAATGTATGAGTGTAGTAGCATAGTTTTTCTCAAAATAATAAAATATGTAATGCCCAAAAATATAGCCATGCCTGGCTGGAGATGGAAAAATTTAACCCTACACTATTCTTTAAAAAATTAATATTTTAGAGGGCTAAATTTATAACCTTGTACTACATTTAGCCTTATGACTGAAGATAACCTTATAGGTGTAGATACATGAACACATGTTTACAAGTGTCAGTATCACAAGAATACGGATCCATTTATTATGCTGTGTTAAAAACAAGTACGTTATTTACATGACACAAAGTTTGGTACCTGGAGTTTTTAGGATCACAACCTCAACAGAATTATGATGTCTTGGAAAAGAAAATCGCAAACATATAGAGGCCAAGAATCTATATCAACAAGAATAATAGCGTATATGATGTAATCAATCACGTGATGAGAGATGGGGAAAAAATAAGCACGACTCATGAAGTCCGTGACAATGACAACTAAACAACCATCAACACATCCACACTCCTTCACATTTAATGCAATCATCAACATCTCCAACCTCCAAATCCTGTCTACACTACCATAGTCATCACCTTCATATTCAAACTTTGCAATCAATTTTCGACATCAAGACTAGAGGGATCTGCTTATCTTCTAAAGTACACCTGTTAGATTAATATTGTTACTACAAAACATGCTCAAAAGGACCATTTGGTATGAAATATGAGAGTGAAAGAAATTGTATTTGAAGGACAACCTCATTTGATCAGTTGCTAGGCTGCCAGTCAAAGAGTGGTTTGAAGCTATAAAAACTTGTCTCTCGAAGCTCCTAGGCATTGGTCCACTCCTCCTTTTGTTTGGTACAAATTTAAATGTGGATGGTACGTATTGCAAACAGCATTTAAATCATTCTCTTGAGAAGACTTGATGGCTCTTGGATAAAATGTTTTTCTTACAATGTAGGTGTTGGTTGGCATGGGAGCTGAATTATGGGGTTTATTTATAAGGGACTTTCTCTTGGTTTTTATTATTATTTATTTTTATTTTAAAATATTTAAAATATTTTTATTTATTTATTTCATGAGGGCCTTTCTCTTGCTTAGGTTGAAGGGTTTCGACATATTTTGGTTGAACGTGATTCAAACTCTGTCTTTGGTCTCTGTTGTTTTGGTTGAATAGATGATCAATCAATGATGAAGTTAAAGCAGCACCGCTCAAGGCAGCCAAGGTTCATCTTTTTCACTGCTCAAATTGTTAGAATGCTACCGAAGATCATCATTTTCACCTCCTATTTTGACCAATCACAAGTGAAAGCGTACAAGGAAAGCCATAAAACTTATTGGACACCTATCAGAAGCTCGGCCAAGTAAGATGTGAAGTCTATAAATAGAAGTAAAAAGAACAAGGCAACACCAATCAACTCAAAAGCCCCTCAACGTGTAAAAAAACCCTTTTTATATTTTTATCATGTAATTCCTAGTTTTCAATGTTTTTCTTTAGGATTTAGGATTTAGGGTAACTTTCGTTACAAAATCTCAAAACCCGTTCTAAGTTCGTGGGCAGTCCCCACTTCGATCGTTCATTTTTTATATCAACATGAGTTTCTTTGTTTATCATTTTCAAAGCTAATTCTTGAGCACCATCCAATCCATCTAGATACCTTTGGATATCCGCATTTATCGAGCGATCTCAACCCGCTGAGCTACCGAGCCCAATGCCACCATCAAGCCACCGAGATCAGTGACACTATCAAACCACTCTCATTCTAAAAGTCCTGTAGTTGAGGCCTAGAACCTTATGGTCGAGAATTTGTTGCTTTATCGACCACAACTGTTTGATAAGAAGTCAAGATCAATAGCACACCCATCACTCACTCGTACCCACGACAATTGTTGGCCACGATACTAGCACGCCACACACACATCACTAAAGAATGACGTCTTTATTACCCAGTCCGCTCGACCTGCTTAATTATTTTATTCTGAAATAATTGACACTTGGCGGAATTTCGAAGTTCAACTGTAATGTTAAGTCTGTAGTCTAATCACTATACATTCTACATTCTTCTCCCTTTTTCGTCAATAAAACTCAAATATTTTCTATTGGTTCTTTTATATTTGAAAGAAAAAAAAACACTTGCATCACTTTTTTGTTTTTTTGTTGAAAGTTTGTCTCTTTTATATCATCACTATTTCTTATTTTTTGTTACATTGGAAGGAGTTGAATTGTTGACATATCCCCTTACCTTCTATTTATCATTGAGTAACTTTAAATATTGACATTGTGTGATGTTTCATCTTAGCGATAACTATATATATATATATATATATATATTAAGTTTTAGTTGAGGGACACTCTTGTAGAGCTCACCTTACATTGTATTTCATTCATCTAAACAATCTATTTTGTAGATATTCATTCAAAGACCATCTCTGCAAAAAAATAACTTGAATCCGATATCATTTGACCACTCAATTAAATTTTTGAAATTTTAGTACTGTCTTGAAGCAACGTATTCATTGATTTTGTATGACACAATTAGATGTCTAAATGGTTTCTAATTTGTCTAATTTTTGTAAGGATGCTCTATGAAGGAAGACCTAAAAAATAGATGGTTTGAATCATTGGAAGAAAAAAAATTGTAGCATACCCTAAAAGGCGTCTCTTAAATAAAATTATTTGAGAGATCCCTCAATAGAAGGTGACTGTATATATATATATATATAGTTATTTTCTCATCAAGATGTCTGTATGTTATTACCATGCAAATGTCATTGTAAATTAAGAGAAAAGCAAGGAGGGTAATAGAAAATACATGATGTCCGGACGTTCGTATAGGAGAATTTTTGTGTGTGTATATATATATTTCAAAGATGACATGAAAATAACAATAATATTTTATAAAATTACTAAAATTAGAAAGCGTAGTGTGTTGCAGATAAGTCGATAGTGCAGGATGAATGTGGTGTTATTGTCGTTTGGTATACCTACAGATGTCGTTTTTTGTTCAGAAAGAGATACGTAGGTCCCATGAAGATTGGAATCGAGCTAGAAAAGCCAATGCGCCAAGGTAAAAGATAATGGTTTAAATAATTTTTTTACGTAATTTTCATGTTGTTAACCTTTTAATTTCAGATAATATAAGTATAGCATATCAATTATCAAAATAAAATAAAAGAACATTTTTCAATATAGCAACTTAAAAAATAAAAATAAAAAACAGGAACAAGAATCTTGCTGTTGATTAGAAGAGCTTTAGATTTCATTTTCTATATGAATTATTTTATGAGTCTTACAATTTCAAGAATGTTTGACTGTACTTGTATAAACTATTAAACAACTAACGACAGAGTATTTTCATTTTATATATTTAAAAAATACAATAATCTGCCTCTTGCACCTGAGTTCGATTCTCCTCACTTATCTAGTTTTAAATACTTTATTATTGATCAATCCTTCAAAGTCAAGGCTCAACTATTAAACAACTAACAATAAAGTAACAATTTTCATTTAACATATTTAAAAAATACAATAGTCTACCTCTTACACCCGAGTTCGATTCTCCTTTCTAGTTTAAAATAATTTATTATTGATTGTATATTAGTTCATTTGTTCATATTGAAATTCACTCTAAGTTTCATTTATTTCTAACAACTAGATATTACAAATGCAACCCCATGGTGGGTTTGTGTTCAACTTGACAACCCCATAAAGCAATGGCCCAAATACTTTTGGGCCCTTTCATTATTGTCTAATCTTGATGAAGAACATATTGATTGCATTGCAGGAAGACTTGTATTTTCCTCATCCTCTGTTGCAGGACGTGTTGTGGGAGTATCTTAACAAGTTTGGGGAGCTTCTTCTAAAGCGATGGCCCTTCTCTAAGCTAAGGCAAAAAGGCTCTCAACACTATCATGCACCATATGTTGACCGTTGATGGTTTTTAAAATTTCAACTTTTTTGTTTTAATATTTTGGCTGTTTCTTTTATTTATTATAAGAGTTACAATTATTTAATTTTTAGGTTTTATTTTTATATTGAATGCCTTAATTTTCTTGTTTATTGTAGTGGATGTTACATGTCCTTTGATGCCTATAAAAGGTCACTCCTCCTTCACATTTGACACACCACAATCTAATTTCTCTATTCTCCTATTTTTCTACTTTTTCTACTTTCGATTATTATTTTTGGGCAACAGTTTTGTGATTTGGAGACATTTATCCGACTATGAACATGCTTATAGTGGACCTTGAGCTTGTGTATAAGGGATCGTATATTGAAGTCTTGTAGACCATTAGTACATGTATGTATGGAGGCTACAAAGGCTTTAGGACAATGTCTTTGATGTCAAGTACTGACGGTTCTACAAGACTCCAAGATACGACCCCCTATACATATGCTCAAGATTCGCTATGAGCACGTTTATAATCGGATAAATGTCTCCAAGTCACAAAACTGTTGCCCAAAAATAGTAGTCGAAAGTAAAGAAAGTATGAAAGTAGGAGACGAGAGAAGTCAGATTGTGGTGTGTGATAAGCATATATTTTATATATATTTTGTACCTCTTTTACCTATTTATTTATTGTTTTCCTTGATTTAAATAAAGTTGTTTACTCTAAGTTTCTATAGCTACAACTACACATTCATAACTTCTAACTTCGGCTTGATTTCGGTTTGAAGATTAGGGATGATTGCCCTGAAAATGAGAAATGGTATCGCCAAATTTCCAAGGGTGGATGGCCCTTCTCCACTCAAGACCAGGCTTGGCTTGTTTCGGATTGTAGCAGAAGGTTTGAAGGTAATCAATGCACCGTGCAGCAAAGGTTAACTTTTGATTAATTACCCAATGGAAAATGGAGATTTTCCTCAACAAGTATAAAGCCACACACATGTATTAAACAAAGTATTTTAGTAGCATCGTCCAAGAAGTTAGCTTTACGAAACATGTGATAAAATTGAATGTGTTGGAAAGAAGTAGCTAGCTGACGAATATAACGAATAATATTACAAATCCTCTACAGAACTTAGGATTTGTCCAAGAAAGAATCAAGAAGAAGCTGACATTTGAGTCTACTTCAGCTATGATTTGAGAAAAACCTTCTTAAGAGCATGAATGAGCCATTCTCGACCCTCAGCAATGAGGACATTATCAAAACCCAAATATTAACACCATGCAGGCGTCATTCTAAAATGAGGGCCTTATCTAAGGGCCTTAAATAATGTCATATCTCTGAATTGTTGGATTAAGAGATCATATCTCTTAAATGAGGTCATATTTCTTAATAGTGAGGGCCTTATCTATAGAATTCTTGCACCACACAGAATAAGCGTTTGAATTGTGTTCGGGATGGAACTGTTTCTGAAATGGGTTGGGTTGAAGACTGTGAATTGTGGGCTACGGTTATGAGTGCCTAGTTGGTTAGCTCTTATCCAACGGTTAAGAGATAGCCTTACCTAAGGGTCATATATAAAGCCCTCAATACAGAATGACTCATTACTTGTGTTTTTGTTGCTCAAATGAAACCAAAATAAGGATGTGAGGTATAATTATTCCTAGCTAGGGATGGAGAGGTCATATAAGAACAAATAAGTTGATGTATTATGATTGATTAAGAAAAAAAAACACCCAGCTTTTGAAGTAAGGTGCACAAAGAAAAATTGGCAAAGCCGTAAGATGTGATACATATATTTTTTCCTATAATATGTTTAATATTAATTAGTAGTTAGGAAGAAATAGAGGATTCTGGCCAAATATATTTTGTTTAAAAGATCTAGTTAGAAGGGACTGGGATGTGTCCAAATAGTTCTTCAAATCTCAACAACCACACAGCACCAACTTTTCATGAACTTTTTTTTAGGAACTTTCCTATCGAAAATAGCGGTAACATATTAAACTTACACATGGATGGTAGGACTCGAACCAAAATCTTTCTTGGAGAGAACATTTACTCCAAACCACTACACTAGTAGGTCCTTTGCATTACCTTAAATTGAAAAAAGAATGAATATATTAATAACCAATACAATATTTTAGATAAACACTAAAATGATCGCAGCGATGACAATTATCAATGTGGTCCTAATTTCTTTTCTTCATTTAAAAAATTATGTTCAACAATGTGGTCCTTATATATACACACAATGACACACACGTATACAGTACATGTATGGATGTCTTTGGATTGAAAATTCATGTGGGAAGTACACACAAGTCTAATTCTACAAGTATATTGTTTAGGGTTTAGCACTATTCAAGATAATATTATTCCAAATTAATTAAATTTTGGGTTCTCGTGGGGATGGATATTAAGATGACAAGTGCCATAGGACAAAAAATTTAAAATAAAATAAAAGTCCAAGACCAAATTGATGGGGGGTAGTTTGGTAATCATGTCATGTGCAAAATATGTATAAGGACGTTACTGTGGCTCACAAATTCACAGTCACATTAAAGTTATATAGTTTTCTCCTAATCCAAATCGTAAGTGAAATAGCTAAGGAAACCTTCCCTCTCTTTCTTGTACGCTTTCCTCTGAAAGTTATCTGATGCTTATAAACCCTAGCTAGCCACCATATATTTCCTCTTAGATAGATAGAACATAATTTTCTTTGGGGTTTTTTTTTTTTTTTTGGGTGGGTTTGTAATGAATTATGTAATCTCCACTCACAAAATCACATTCCCTACTATAAGATATGATATCAGATTCTTATATGTTATAATAATACTATTGTTTCATGTCTGTTAGAAGGCAAAAGAATAATGTGGAAACTGAAGCTTTCAGAAGGCAAAGATCCATGGCTTACAAGTGTAAATAATCACATTGGAAGACAATATTGGGAGTTTGATCCAAATCTCGGAACACCAGAAGAGAGAGATCAAGTGGAAAAAGCTCGTCACGAGTTTCGCAAGAATCGTTTTCAATCCAAACATAGCTCTGATCTCCTAATGAGACTTCAGGTGAGGCAGCTCTCACTGTGCATGATTTCTCTCATAAATATTTCATTTTTCTGATATATATGAAATTATTTAATTTGGGTTAATTAACTAACTGTATGTGCATGTATATATTTGAATACAAAGTTTGCAAAAGAGAAAGCAAGTGAAATGAAGCAAGTACCAGCACAGGTGAAAGTGAGAAGTGATGAAGAAGAAATAAGTGAGGAAGCAGTGGGGATCACACTGAGAAGGGCCTTGAGCTTTTACTCCACTCTGCAGGCTGAGGATGGTTTCTGGCCTGGTGACTATGGGGGACCTTTGTTTCTTCTACCTGGCTTGGTAAGATTAATTTCAATATATATATTTTTTTTTATACAAACGAAATTGGGATAGGAGAATCGAACCTAGGATCTCGGGTAGGGTAAATGCTCCCCTGTGATTAATTTCAATACTTAACCTATATCTGTTACTATGTGTATACAAATACCTTTTCATAATTTCCACTCCTATAATAAGACTAAGGTTGGGTTATACACATTGACCTTAATTACCATATATTCTCTTTCATTTTTTGGTTCAAAAGACCAACCATATAAACGAGGTGAAAAACTAACTACTCATGCAAAACCATTCACGTTGTTCAAAACTTCTAAAGTCAAATAAAATAATAAAAAGTAATACTATATGACGTAACACACGAGAAGTGACATGTGTAAATTATTAACTGATCATAATAATTGATGTAATAAGTTAGTCCGAATACATTAACAAATAATCTAAAGATGCATCCACTCTAACATTACTTAAAAAAATATATATAATTTCGGTAAGCTTCCCCGAAGAAAGATCCAAAACTCTGCAGCCTCACACTAAATTTATAGGAATATATGTTTAATTTTGAAGGATTTGCTAAAATTTTCTGCGTTAATTAACTCTAGCATTTTAGAGCTTTGCTTAAAGATGTATACCTCAAGTTACATAAGTACGTATTTAGGCTCTCGATCGAGGGATAAAGTTATGAAAGTTGAAGGGATAATGCCATTATTCATCTTAAATTTATGAAAGTTCAAGGGATAAAGTTCCTTATAATATTAAACACTAATGTATAATGCCTCTGTAATTTCATGGAACATTCATTCAAACATAATATATTGTATAATTCCTTTTCATCACATATATGGTCCCCCTTTTCCCCTCTTTTAGTCGTTCAAACGGACTGTCGATACATTTAACGTCATAGTCATTTTCTTCATATAATATGATAATAAATGTATGATGATAATGAAAGTATCCATTAAATGGATATTTTTTTAGTCTATTCAAACATACGAGTTCAAATCAATAAGCAAGACTTTCTTTTCTCCCCTTTAATAAAAACTTTTCATTGCTATAACAATGATCCAATGCAATGGTCCCCCTTTCCCTCTTCTCCCCACTTCCCCTCCCTTTCTCTTGGTTTTCAAGAGAGAGAGAGATATATATATATAACGGATGAATTCTATGTCGTAGTCATATTTGTTGGTTTTGTATATGATTTATATACATTAATCCCCATCAAATGTTTGTTTATATATACAATGTCCTACAATTAATAATATACAATTGTATAGAAAACAACTTTACATTAAAATCAAGCTGGCTCCCTTCATTATTGATGGTCCTATTTTCCACCTCCCTTTTCCTTAATTCTTTATATTTTTATTTATTTATTTATAATATGAGAACTTTTTGCCTGTCTCTTTAGAGCACTTCCAGCAAAGGCTGGGCTCGGGCTGGGGGGGTTTACCTCTTCTATTTTATTTGTTTTTGTTCCCTTTTTGGTGCTACAATAATACACTGCGTAAGTACCTAGCTGGCCAATATACCATATATCCCCCCTTCTCTCAATCCTTCTTCATTGTCCATAAGGAATCCCACAAAACATGGAAATCGAACAAGAAATCTAGGGTTTAGGGAATCCTTTGCAGTCCACAAGTACCCGAGAGAAACACAATTCAAAAATTAAAATAAAAAACGAAAGGAGAAAATATAATGTTAGTTTGTATGTATATATCTAACATTATATTTAGATATTGGGAAACACTGGACCTCGGATGCAGTAATAACTGCTTTTAACCACTTGAACTACAAGTCTCTTGTCAAGAGAAACTTCATTCAGTTATTAACAGTTAGGGTTTAGGGTATTCTAGTGATTGACAAAACCATCCACACTATATGCTACATACTATCATCTATTGTTGTTGTTAATTGTTCTTGTATATTGTAGTGATTGATTTAGAATACCGTCATAGTGACATTCCGTGTTAGTGTGGGATAGCAATCATACAAGATGTCTCACCCTTATATCGCACAAATTAATTTAAGCAATGGGGTTTTGTCCTAGGTTATTGGCTTATCTGTAACAGGGGCCCTTCATGCAATCTTGCCGCATGAGCATCAACAGGAGATCTGGCGCTATCTGTACAACCATCAGGTATATCAATTTCTTAATTTTCCGAATGCTACCCGTCATTTGAAATGATATATTTAATGAGATTAATTAACAGCTGATGACATGATCGACCACAAAAAGTAGTAATTGATGTGTTTAATACTAGGCTGACTTTGGCCATTTATTTGGAACCAATCAAATTATCTTTTAGAGGTAATTAAATAAATTATATATGTGAACTAACAAATCCATTGGATATGGGTTGACTGACATAACCAATTAACCAAACCACCTAATTCTTCTGTCTTTGAATGGAAGTATTAATACCCACAATCCATTTTAATATTTATGGTTATCTTTTGGTAGTAGGGTTTTCTCATACGCACGCTCTTAAAGTGTTATAGGAGTTCGAACTTGAGACCACTGACTCGTTGACTACTATAAGTGTATTATTACTAATGTTTTTTTTGGTGCAACCTAATTGTAATGAATTGCAGAATATAGATGGAGGTTGGGGATTGCATATAGAAGGCCCCAGCACAATGTTCTGTACAGCTCTGTCCTATGTCACTTTGAGATTGCTTGGAGAGGAAATGGACGGTGGTGATGGCGCCATGGATCGGGCAAGAAAATGGATTCTTGATCGTGGTGGGGTTACCTTCATTCCATCATGGGGAAAGATGTGGCTTTCAGTAAGCACACTTTTATTAACAAATTAAGCTGCCATTGCCCTCCACTAATTACTGTGGTCCTAAGCTGTTTATGAAATTAGCCAAAACAAAAATACAACTTTATTTGTTCATGGATTGATAAATTTTTTTGATTGTTTTGCCGCCATATGTTAATGCTCATCATCTTGCACGGTTTTAACTGTAGCTTAATTTGGAAATAAAATTGGTAGGTCCTTGGTGTCTACGAATGGAGTGGAAACAATCCACTGCCACCGGAGTTGTGGCTTTTACCTTACTCTCTCCCAATACACCCAGGTGTGTAGACGTATTAAAAGCTTTTTATTTTTCTTTTATACTTATGATATATTAAAAGTGAGAAATCGAGCATAAGATTTTGCGTTCAAAACGCCTTTATTTTGCATTGTTTTTTTCTTTTGTTTTCTTCTTCTTTGTTTATAACATGTATAATGTGCAAGAATATAATCTATGAATGCATGTGAACGGAGAAAATTAACGAAGAATCTGCTAATTAATTATAGCTACAGAAAGCAGACAAAAAGCTTAAGAAATTAAAAGTCAATCATGAAATGGATTAATGAATTAATTATGCACTGATGATGGTGCAGGTCGAATGTGGTGTCACTGCAGGATGGTTTATCTGCCCATGTCATATTTATATGGACCAAGCAAGAAATCTATGCGCTAAGGTGCTACGTATTCTTTCTAGCCTTTTAGTTCTCATTAATTTAAACAAATAAATAAAATAACATCTTATACATATAATATTAACTGCAAAAATATTATTTAAGAAAATTTCTTTTTGAATCAAACTTAAGCAAATAAAGACCCTTGCCAGTTGTATTATATGGGTCCATTTGGATCGAGTGATTCCAAATTTAGGAATTTAGGTGATATTGTAAGGTTAAATTGGATGTTTATATTACTATAGTCTATATGTATGTCAAGATTTGAATAAATAAATAAAATTAAAGAAAACAAAATGGCTATTTTATATAGTCACTTCAATATAAATCATTCAAATATTATACATCTAGTTATTTCAAATACATACAATCTAATGTATCTAGTTTTCTTTAGCAAATTTAACTTTGTTGTCAAATCCAATCCTTTAACGTCCATCTAAATAGAGCATAAATTGTAAAGAACTCACTAGTATAGTGGTTTAGAGCAAATATGCTCTTCCTTCCTCCCCCAAAGAAAAAGTCATGAGTTCGAGTTCTATAGCATTCGTATAATCTCGACTGTTTTTTTTAATACATCTTTCTCGACCCTTACCTTCATATGCATCATCTATGGCAAAACGATCGATTTTAATTTTTAATTAATTAAGAAAAATGGAAAACCAATTTAGGACCGCATGACATATTATTATATGTATTTGAAAGCATGATGGAGTCTTGGGGATGCTGCAATGCAAGTAACCAATGAAGTGCCAAGCAGTGCAGGTCGAAGGACTAAAATACACTTACCAGAAAAATAAAAAGATCAAACTACAAATATGTAAAAAAGAAAGAGTCAACTGACAACAGGCAAGTCAAATTTGGTGGAAGGTTGTGAGGCCCACTCAAATATCAGATGGAGTCATAAGAATTCAAACAAGTTAGAATTGAGGAATTGAGATGACTTTATTCTTCCTAGTTTATTAATCGAATCTGATCTCATGACATGATCATGTTTTTCATAGTCATGTACATTTAAAATATAAGACATATGCCAATAATAATTTAACTTTTTAAAGTAAATATAATTTAAAAAGTGCGTGGTTGTGGTTAGTTTCATAAACTTTGGTTCAAATGACATTAAAAACAGTAGACAAAGATGTACTACCAAATTTAATGTTTTGACGCAAGGAAGGGAAAAAAAAGGAAAAATGAAGAGTGTGTGGTGTTATTAGGCTAGGTCTAGAAATATTCTTGATCATTCTAATTAGATCATAGATTTGGGCCTCCCATTTTCCTTGTACTAATAGTTTGTTAATTAGGTTCGATTAGGGTTTGATAGCTCAACTGCTAATTAAACTTCTTTTATGGGTTTAGTTGCACCAATAATCTAATCCCAACCTTTAATTTATCAGTTGAAATCAATCAAATTATGACATTTCAACCTTGGTACTTTAAGCTTGATATGTTTTATAGTCTAATGATATCCAATCCGAATTGATTGGAAATCACAATTTCAGTTTCATTGAAGCCTGTTTTTCCTTTTCTGTTAACAATCTAAATCCAATATAGAGAAACTTAACAAAGATAAACTAAAACAATCTTCCTCTTCTGAACAATTTGCATGCAGGAGGACTTGTATTATCCACATCCCATTTTGCAGGACATCTTGTGGGGGAGTCTTCAAAAGGTCGGGGAGCCTCTTCTCATGAAATGGCCATTCTCAAGGCTAAGGCAAAAGGCTCTCCGCACTGTAATGCAGCACATACACTACGAGGATGAAAACACTCAGTATATTTGCATTGGACCTGTCAATAAGGTTTGCTTAAAAAAGAAAAATACAAGGAAAAAAAAGATAAAATATGCAAGAAAGAAAGCAGACTCTATCAATTTATTTTGGGTTATTTTGGAGATTAATTACCAGACCAAGTGTGTTTTTTCTTCATGATCAACAGGTACTAAACATGATTTGTTGTTGGTTGGAGGATCCAAATTCAAAAGCATACAAGAACCATCTTTCAAGAATCAAAGATTATCTTTGGGTTGCAGAAGATGGAATGAAAATGCAGGTCCTCAAATGAATAATTAATATTGTTTAATGATTAATCAATGATTACATAATTATATTTAAAGGATGTGTGAGACTAATTAAACATTATTTTGATGACATGTAGGGATACAATGGATCTCAGTTTTGGGATGTTGCTTTGGCTGTGCAAGCAATCCTTGCAACCAACCTTGTCAATGAATCTGGTTTTGTGCTTCAGAAGGCGCACAATTTCATAAAAAACACACAAGTATTTAACCTCAAACTTAATTGATCACTACCAAAACATAATATAATATAATTAAGATATGACATCCCCATTTAACTATAATCAACTGGGTTTTGGTGCGTGAATTAAGGTTAAGACAAACAGCTCTGGCAATCTTAGTTATTGGTACCGCCACATTTCGAAAGGTGGATGGCCGTTCTCTACTTCAGACAATGGTTGGCCTGTCTCAGATTGTACGGCAGAAGGTTTGAAGGTAATCCTTTGCCTTGTACCTCAATTACAACATATACTTGAGGGTTTTGAGTTGGCATAAAATAATATTGGAGAAACTGCATTTTCTGATTATATATATTAACTGACCACATAATGCAACACATGATGTGCATTAGGAGCTGGTTAAACGGTTTTCGGATTCAAGTGATTTCTTGCAAAGATGATCTTTGAGAGAATACTTCGAAAATTGATGGTTCGGAAAAAGAATGTAGAATGAGCTCTACAAAAGTGTCCCTCAATAAGCTTATTTGAACATCCCTTGAAGTTCTATATATATAAACATAACATTAATTGATGTAAGAATAAAGCTATTTATATCATCTCAACTGACTATATCTAAGGAACAAACAGTTGATTTGTATATAAAATATGAACATGGCAATATATAATGCAAGCTAATTTATTTGCAGATCCCTTATGATTGTCACCTTTTGTTAGTTTGTAGCTTAAACAACTTGGAAAAACTTACACCAACTAATTACAGGCGGCACTCTTACTATCACTTATGCCGTCTGAAATTGTGGGAGAAGCCATGCAAGCGGATCAACTATATGATGCTGTAAATGTGATATTATCCCTACAGGTAAAAACTACTTTTAATTAGTATTTATATAGTTCATTAGAAGTTGATTCGATTAAGTATAATCACGGGACTTTGTTCAAGTTTTTAGGCCGCGAGTGTTGTTCTCTTGTTTGTCACACAGTCTGACATATGGATCATTGATCATGATGATTCTTGTCTTAATGTATAGTTGAGATTCACTCATTATAAATATATGCTTGACAATATAAGTCTGACAAGAAAACATTATCAACGTTATAGAGTCATGCCTCCACGCGTGCGTTTAATAAGTTTCCAATAAATTTACTCTTTGACACAACAGAACAGTACTGGAGGATTTGCATCGTATGAACTCACAAGATCCTACGCCTGGTTGGAGGTGATGAAGCAATTCTGTCCTTTTCAATGGATATTTAGAGTACGTTAATTAACTTTTTGGAGAAGATCTGACACGCTTTTCAATCCCAGATGATCAATCCAGCTGAAACATTTGGAGACATCATTATTGATTATCAGTAAGATACAAAAATACTTTGTTTTCTGTCGAAAACAAATAAAATAGTGGCACAAAAGATCTTATGACATTTTATATCCTCATAAAAAAATGTAGGTACGTGGAATGCACATCAGCAGCAATTGAAGGCCTTAAATCATTCATGAAATTATATCCAGGACATAGGAGGAAAGAAATTGAAGCATGTATTGCAAAGGCAATTAAATTCATCGAGAGCATACAACTACCTGATGGCTCATGGTAATTTGTTTCTCTTAGTGAAATATTAGAATGGTTAAATTAATATGACTAGATGTGATTTTTAATCTTAGCAGTGAAATATTTGGTAGCCTAAAAACAACCTTGATTTGGATTATGTTTAATCCTACTAGGCTCAACGTCGTAGGATTATGAATCCCACCAAAAGGTTGGGGTTAAGTTCTACACCATGTAATATAATAGCATATTTCAGTTAAGCTAATCCCTTAATCATGTATAGTTCCAAACACATCACTCGATTAGTGTTATCTTCTCCAATAATGTAATCCAATGCGATCTAATTCTACCTCATACTCCAATCCAATCCAAATCAGCAAATATGACCTTATATCAATCAATTAATGTTGCAGGTATGGGTCTTGGGGAGTCTGCTACACCTATGGAACATGGTTTGGGATAAAGGGGTTAGTGGCTGGCGGTAAGAACTACCATACTAGCCATAGCATTAGAAGAGCATGTGATTTCTTACTGTCCAAACAACTTGGTTCGGGCGGCTGGGGAGAGAGCTACCTATCATGCCAAAACAAGGTAAGGATCAATAAATTTTGGGAATCCATATATGTTTTGGTAAAATTCTAATTATCTATGTTCATTTTCAACTGACACCATTGGGTTGATTTGTTGAGTTTAGGAGGTTTTTCTGTTTAGTTTGTGACTATTATAATTCAAGGAAGCAGAGGATGTATGATTGTAGCTATAGAAGCGGCAATGTCCTCTTGTCACACAATTTAGCATCTTATGTTAAGAGATTGTGACCTACCTAATAATTTAGAAGCACATTCTGACAACATAAGCTGCTAGACTATTCGACAATAGAATAGTTTCGATTACATAATAACAGCATTTGCTGTTATATATTATCTCACCAGACTATCCGTCAAGAGCACATTTTGAATTGTACAATAGCAGCATTATGCTATTACATACATATTTGTAACGGTGTCTATTCTTCTGTGAGTGGACTAATAGGTATACACAAATCTCGAAGGGAACAAACCACACATGGTGAATACTGGATGGGCAATGTTGGGTCTGATTGAAGCAGGCCAGGTGTGTTGCAGTCTGTTTCTCCTACAAAACCTATGTCTATAGAAATAGTAGATAACAATTTATTTGTTTTGTTTTATTTTACCATTTTTGACTGTTTAGGCTGAGAGGGATCCGATCCCCTTGCATCGTGCAGCAAAGCTGTTGATTAATTCACAGATGGAAAATGGAGATTTCCCACAACAGGTACATTAACTATTAGTTTAGCGGTACTTCTCTTCCTAATCTCGAAAGATGGCTTAAATTCAAATCTCCATATATGCATAACACACTTTTCATCCTAAAATATTACTCTCTTTTTTTTTCTTTTTTCTTTTTTTCTTTTTTTTCTTTTTTTGGAGGACAGCAAATCATGGGAGTCTTCAATAAAAATTGCATGATCAGTTATTCTGCATACAGAAATATCTTCCCCATATGGGCACTTGGAGAATATCGCAATCGGGTATTGGCATTGCTACCTTATAAATGTATAAATCAAATTACCAGAAAATGAGTGTTTAAATGATCATGTACAAACAATCATGTGTTTTATTGGCTTTTGTCGTTTCCTTTCTATGTAGATATTACGTTGGTTAATATGATGTATGCATAATAAATGTTTTATATCCCAGTCCAAAAGAAAAATAATCCATCTTGCAGGGCAAGGGTAAAACCATTCCATCTTGCAGAGGCAGACAGTTACCGAAGATAATAATACACTGCAAAAATCTGTTGATCGCATTTGAAAACTATAGTACAACTGAATTTTTACAATGTGAAATCTTCACCATTTCCCTAGACATCTGCAAATATATAACTCATCGTCTTCCCTGGAACTGAGTCTCCATGGAAATAAACAATTTCAGTTGAATAAGTTTGCAACTCTCAAGTCTCGACTCATTATCAGTCCTGGCTTCGATTAACAATTGCCAAGACAGTTGATCGAATGAAAAAGCAAGCATCAACTCTGGCCAACTTGAGAATGCAACAGAAATATTATCTATTACACGTAACCGTTCCTAAGCATGATACAAAATTGGGGATGGATATGTAGAAAATCAGAAATACATGACAAAATTTCAGGGCACTCAAAACCGTGAGTTGCTAAGAAAAGCTACCACACAACTAGTGCTCTGAAACAAATTTTCTACTTTCTGCCATGTTTTGCTCTGAATATCTAGGAGCTTTCTTGCCTTATCCTGCAGTCTTGATTGGCACCGAATTGTTTCGCCATGGATCTGTCACGGAAGAAAACAATGGAAAAAGAAAGAGGTTAAACAAGGAGTTGAGTGCCACTGAAGACCAACTGGAAACTTGCAAATTTAAGGATTTTACTCTTGATTCATAAATTTGATAAAAGATCACTCATGCCAGTGACTTTTATAAAAACATACCAGTTTGAAAATTAAGAGTTCTTGCTTCTAGGTCTGTGATATTGGAATTTTGTCAAAACTCCGTTGATAGCGAAAAAATATACAATAAAGGAAGTCTGTACCTTCAGAAACACCTTGATGACAGCTTGTACAAAGTCAAAATTGTTTCTGCACGAAGTCTCGTGTATAAAATAATCAAGAAGCAGTTCGATTGAAAATAATTCTGGCCTCTTTTCAGGTTCTTGCTCATCATCATCTACAATTTGAAGCATCCGAAGTTCCATATCCAGAGTTGATGGAGATAAACTTTTGATATAATCAGTAAATGCTGAAACTGCAAAAAAATACACAATTTAAAGACCATCATGCCTTTGCACAGATCTTACTGCAATCAAGAAGGAAACCTTTCAACTGAATCACAAATGAAAACTAAAAGATAAGATATTTACAATTCTTCATTTCTGCAGACGAGTGAAGAAGTTGCACAAATTGCGATGGTGCCAGACCAGACTTTATTCTAGTGTCTTCTACTTCATCACCTTTGGCTTCCTCTTCCGCTGACCCGCTGGGTTTAAATAATATATCTCCGGAAAGAGAAGGGACTGAAGGCAAAAAGAAAGGAGCCCTTTCAGGTTTTTTTGGTGGTTCAATTGGTTTATTTCGTTCCTGGACATTGCAGAGATGCAACATAATTTACTGATCAATCACTAAAAAATGTAAAGGGCAAAAGGACAACCATAATTCACAAATGAGGTCAAAAAGTCTGAAACCAATCAATAAACAGCAGTAGAAAATACCTTTATGATGTCTAAATTGATTAAGCTTTGCCACTGGCTTTTAGGTAATAATGAGAGAGTAACAAGATCAGGAATTTGCAGGTCACGAGTTGTAAAAGCTGAAGCATCTTTAGATTGTGGATTGTCCACAATAGGCTCATCAAAGTCCTCATCTTGAGAACCTTTTGTCGAAGAGACAGATGGTAACTTAACACTCACAACTTCCTTTCCACTTGCATAAGAATCAACCTTTGAAGCTCCAGAAAACATTGATTGATTTACCCTGTTAAGGTAGCCAGGTTTGGAATTTTTTGATAAATGAATATCCCGGTCAAAAATGAGGAAAACAAATAAGAAATTATACTGTATTAAAACTACCATCGATTGCATGCTAAATCATTCACTGTTAACATAATTAAAAAATTTAAGGTTCACTTGGTTGCTCTGCTAAAACATGATGCATTTGGTCTAGTGAAAAGGCTAAGGTTCTATGGGGTTGTAGTGACTTGGCTGTAATCTGGGTAATTTAGATGAGAGGCATGGGAGGGTCTTCGAAGATTATAGAGGCGTAAGGGTGGAGAAACACTGGGAGAGAGAGGTTTTCGTCGTTGTTGTGGCTCCTGTTTCGAAACATTTAAAAGATTTGTTTCTTCTGTAATGTTGAAGTGGAGGGCAGCTGTAGGCTGAGTATTCATTAGAACTGTTTTTCCGACTCTACATACAATCACATTTATCAACTTCAACCTCCCAACAAAAATTCACTAGCTCTTTTGGGGTCAATAGATATGAAGACTTACCAAAGATAGACCCCATTTTGATCAACATGTGCAGTCGCTAGAACATCCATATTTGGTGACAGAGACAATGCTGTTATAGACACATCAACATGCAATGCATCTATTTGTCTTGCTAAAATAACATCCCAAACTCGAAGACTTCCATCCATACTGGATGACAAAAGCCATTTTCCATCCTCACTAAAACACATGTCTGTTACACGATCCGTATGGCCTTCAAATTTACGAACAATTCTTGATGCCACAACATCAAACAAGCGGATAATTAAGTCATCAGCCACAACAGCCAAAAGACCTGAAAGTTTTTTGAGTTGATCACAATATTATCCAAGGCATTTATGATACCAAAAAGCTGAACAAAACACGCTAATATGACAAAAGAATATCAAACACTAGTTACCATTCAAACGATTGTATACAATCTTGACAACAGAACACCCAACTTCCCATCTAGATTTTACGTCACGTCCCTTGAAATTCCAAACCTGCAGGTCAAAACATGTGACGAATGAAACATTCAACACATTCAGCAAATTTATTTCTTCCATTTTTTTGGGAATAGCTTAGTTGAGCTGGAGCAAATTTCTTCACTGTGCTGAGCCTTATAGATCAAGATGAAAATATATACAAGAGAAAAACGTATCTTAGTGCAAACTGGAATATCTCTAAACATACAAGCAAACAAGGTTTAGGGCAGCCCACCACCATCAGCCTCCTAAACCATGTAAATCCCCAACCTTCAGCACCACAGACCTTGTATTCTACTTTATGAGGCATATGAGTAAATCCGACAGTAAGGTAGAGCGTAATGTTTTGAAATAAGAAATACAAACTGACCTTTATGTCTCCATGATATCCTGCACTTATCATTAGAGTATTTGTTGAATCACAAGCAATTCCAACCACTTCCCCATCATGGGCAAAGCTTCTTCTTGCTGACGTGTCTACATAACTGCCTCGGCTCATTCCTGACTGAAGGTTGAAGCGCTCAATCCAACCATCTGCTGTCCCCAGAATGGCGAAATTGCCACATGCACTGATGGCACAGGCCTATCACCAACAAAGACAACAATTCATTAATATTGTACTGTTTGAAAAGGATGGTGTACTACACAAGTCTTTAATGTTGCACATCATATAGTCATCAGAACTGGGTCTTTTTGTCAGGCTACCGTTATCTCATAGATTGAAAATCATCAGGAATCATATGAATCCAAAGATGAGCAGAAATTGCCAATTTGACTATTAAACCTTGTAAAAATGGATGTTATAAATCTTGTAAAATAGTGACCACAAGGGTCAAAAAAAAAAGAGCAGTATTGAAATAGATTGAAATTCTAACCTTCACAGGACTGGGATTTTCAGGTCTTGGCTTCAGAATATGCTCACCAAGAACAAAGTTTTGAAGTCGCCACACATATGCCTGTGCAGTATCCATATGGCATGTAACCACATTGCACCAATCTCGCTCTCTTATTTCAGCTGAAATAATTTTTCGTATAAAAATTCAGAAGATTCAACAAATCTTATAGATCAAAGAGTATAACAGGTCATTGATGCAATTTGAGAAAATGCCAAAATGAGAAAGCAGCCAACTCTGAAACTGATTTCTCAAATTGAATAGGATTTAACACCAGTCCTAGCGACTTTAGCTATGCTAAATCTATGGTTTTGATATTTAAACTTCAGCATCAATTTTGTTGAGGTCGAAGTCAAACCAAATTTCATTATATTGAAATATAATTTTCACTGGTAAATTTGTGTCAGATAAGTGTTGTTTCAGTACTTTTTGGATTTCTTCTAGCATTTCAGTTTACTTTTTGTCAGAAGAAGTCTTATTAAAATGAACACCAGTAAACATAAAATTACACGTACAAAAGGACCTTACCACAATCAAAAGCTATCACAGGCTTCAGTTTTATCTCTTCTTCCTAGAAGGTGAGGAAAACAGAAATTAAATAGTTAATCCATCTGCATACTGAAATAGCACTATTTGTCAATTGAAGATTGGCATGATAAAATATATATATATAGGGGACGGATCCTTGGCACCATAAATTTGACACAATTTTATAGCCTTTAGATGCAAGCACTTTCACGGGCTAAGATTAAATGTGATTTTATTATTTATTTATTTTATTTTGATAACGTAACAAATAAAATAAAATATTAAACTCACCACTTTTCAAGGTAGCATAAATGTAGGCTAAAATCTCTCCATCTCCTCCAATCTCATTTATTCTCACGTTTTGAGTTTGAACTTTTTTATTTATTTAATTTTTTTTACTTTATCTGGAAACAAAGTTCTGAGTTGATCTCCAATCATGCAAGGATCTATTCCAGATTTTTCCACCCCAACACTTCACGCAATTTTCGCTAAATATTCTGGAGATTGTTTGAAAATCTTAATTGTTAATTGTGCTAAGAAGCTATGGATACTTTTTGCTACAGTTAGATGCTAAACTGTTTGAGAATGAACTTGAACTTTTCATGGTAAAAGACATTAAGAAATCCACAAATGTAAGAGGAAAAAGGAATTTGAATAGAAAGTAATCCAAGGATTTAGAGACTCAAAGCTCAAGAAAATAACAAAAGAACCAACATACAAGACTGCAAGATAACCTCTCCA